ATGAGCACAATTAAGTGTTCTGGAATTCCCGTTCTTCACAATGATCCATAATTTGTTATGATCCACATGGTGGAGTGCCTTTGCATAGTCAATAAAACACAGGTAAACATCTTTCTGGCTAATTATTTTCAGTAGTAGACCGCTGGGTCCTTCTTCCTAGTCTGTCTTAGTCTGGAAACTCAGCTGAAACTTGTCCACCATGGATGACCCTGCTAGTATATGAATACTGGTGGCATCGCTTCCAGCATCATAGCAACACACAAGCCCCCATAGTACGACAAACTGACAGATGCATGGGGGAACTTTCTGTTAGAATGACTCAAATCAGAGTGGGCTAGTGCAGGAAGTAGTGTTTCTCAACCCTGCAGGTGTATAGGTCAAGGCCAGATAGACTCTGTACATGTACCATAGAGAAGATGTAAGCATTGATGCAGGGATGAACTATATAATCTTGAGGGTGTCTTCTGGCGCCAAGTAACTGATTCTATGAAAGAGAAATAGAGGAAGGTTTGACGAATCACTGGCTATTTAAGTTTTTAAAAGTCAGAAAATCTTTTTTTAATGTTCTCTACTAACAGTCCTCTGCGTTCAACTTATATCGTCAACTTTATTTTTCTTTAGTCATCAGTTTCAGTCTGTTCCAGGTAAATGTTTTCTGGTTCCCTGTACTGGGCATATTTATTTCTACATCTGCATTGTTGTATGTATTATGTGTTAACTTGGAAATCTATTCTTCCTATTATTCCTCTTTAAAACCTTTTTCAAAACACTTTATCCAGGAATCCTTCCTCATGGTTAGATCCATTTGATTTTTGTTCCCTTATTTTGCATTCTCTCACCTCCCTGACCATAGAGGTGTTTATACTCCCTAAATATCTGTTTAATTTTTTTTCTGTGATTTATCTTCCTAGATAAATAGGGCAGGGGCTTTACTTTGTAATTTTAATATGTTTCCTTATGTCCTGTGGATTCTTTATTGGAATAATTTTTGTCCCCCCCGCTTCCTTTTTTTTTTTTAAATTGGTGTTTCTTATTGTGTTGGCACTTAACAAATTAATGAAAGGTTGGTAGCAAAATAATGTTACAGGTTTCTAGGGAAAGAAGCTATTTAGCACTTTTAGATCAACATTTGTCATTTTTTATACTCTGGTGTTTTGTTTAAGGTTCTGGCATTACTGCAATAGCCACATCTGTGTTTCATGGCCCACCCCGGTGCCAGCTTCATCATGCAGTCATGCCTCATGGGAAAGGTGGGCGTTCCTCAGTCAGCGGGGTTGTGGCCACTGTTTTTGGAGCAACAGGATTCCTAGGCCGATACATTGTCAACCACCTTGGTAAGTGAAGTTCCTTGAATTTAGTATGCTCCACTGCCATTTACTAGGGCTGCCTGATGAGAGGCCATGAGTTAATGTTTCTTTTCATTTTAACAGTGTTATGAATTACGCCTATCTTGAATTTATGTAATTTTTATCTACTGTGGCATTAAGAGCATACCCATGCTTCTGAACAATATGCAGCAAAACCTGCGAAAGCCAGAACCTGTGTAAGGTGGAAACCTGTCAGAGAAGGAAAGCGCAAATATTTTCCACTAAAACTAGTGATAGAAGAGTGGTAAGACTGCACCCTGTTAAAGGCGGAAAACTTGCCAGATCTAGAAGAACAAGGCAGTCCTATCGAGTTTCAGCTCTCGCAATTTTCATTGTAGGATGTTAAGATGGGAATAGAGAACTCTGAAAAGTTATGGCATCTTGAATTCAAACCCATTGCTGTCGAGTCGATTCCAACTCGTAGCAACCCTATGGGACAGAGTAGCACTACCCTATAGGGCTTCCAAGGCTGTAAATCTTTAGCACACTGCCACATCTTTCTCCCGTGGAGCAGCTGGTAGATTCGAACCGCCGACCTCTAGGTTAGCAGCCAAGCGCTTAACCACAGTGCCACCAGGGCTCGTATGGCATCTTTAGCATGACAAATTATGTTTTTTATCAAGCATAATATCAATTCGCCTATCACACTAGAATTTAAATATTTACCAAGTCATTGTTTTATAATGTATCCATATGTTGATGTTGGTCCTTGTTTCAATCCATCTTTTTTAGGACGTATGGGATCACAGGTGATCATACCCTATCGGTGCGATGCATATGAACTCATGTACCTTCGTCCCATGGGTGACCTGGGCCAGATTATCTTCCTGGTAAGAGCCATTGTGTCTAGTTATTGGAGTTGAAAAATGTAAATTATTAAGGCCATTTTTAGGAGAGACAAGTAGTGTAATAAAGCAGCGATTTCACTCCAGAATGGACCAAGGGCATCCTCCACTCAGAAGGCACTCCTTCAGCTAATGTGTTGCCTGCAAACTCTAAACCAGTGGTCAGCAAACTTTTTCTATAAAGGTCCAGATAGTAAATATTTTATGCTTTGTGGCTCATAGGGTCTTTATCATAATTACTCAACTCCGCTGTTTTAGCCTGAAAGCAGCCATAGACAATACATAAATGAATGAGCGTGGCTATGTTCTCATAAAACTTTATTTACAAAGTTAGGTTGCAGGGTGAGTTTGACCTGTGGGCCATAGTTTGCCAACCCTGGCTCTACACTTGTGCTGTCCACGATGGTAGCCGTTAGCCACATGTGACTGTTGAGCACTTGAAATGTCGCTAGTCTGAATTGAGTTGTGTTGTAAGTGTAAAATACACACTAGATTTTAAAGACAATACAAAGAAAATAATGTACACTATATCATAATATTATTTTACATTATACGTTGAAATAATATTGGATATATTGAGTTAAATAAAGTATGTTATTAAAATGAATTTCACCTGTTTCTCTTTATACTTTTTAATGTGACTGCTAGAAAATTCAGAATTACATATGTGCCTCATGTTATATTTCTATTGGACAGTTATGCAGTGGACAGAGAAAATCACAAATAGAGTGTTTTATAACTTAATTTGCTTGGCATAGACCTCATTTAGAACAGTCCTTTCTGGGTATTCACTGTCATCATTCTTTAATCTGCAGGCTTGCTCTTTAGACCAGTAGTCCCTAGTGGGGCCGGTCAGGGAGGATGAAGTGCAGGGGAGGAGGAGTGACACCGCTCATTCAAGGGAGTGAGTCAAAAAGCATGGAAACCCTTTTGGTTTCCACAGTGACTGGAGAGCCACACAGGTTTATTAGGCAGGGACCTGGGGTGCTGAGTGTCCTATGGTGCACAGAAAAGTCCTTTTTCACAAAGAGTTGTGCTGCCAGAAATGCCTGCAATGATCCTATTGAGAAACAGTGCCCTGGGCCTTGATGCTTGGATCAACTGTTTTTTTAGGCAACTCCTTTGTAGAACTGAACTCTTCCATTTATATACTTTTCCCTTATAAAAAATGTCTGGTAACCATCCTTAACATCTCTGATAGTATTTTTGT